GTAGGCTGGGACTTCTGGAAGGACCAGGGGGTTACTGACTTAAGGGGGTACTGGGAAGTTTAGTACAAAGGAATTCAGTCCTCTTCTAGACTGTAGAATCCTGTATTACCAGACTTTTGTGAACCTTGGTCTCCTCTGCTGGGGAATCTACCCACCAGGGCTGAGGCATATCCTGTCTTGGAAAGATGGCAACTCCTGTGTTGTTATCTCCTTGTTCTTGAGGCTGGGTAAATCTACACCCTTAGGCAGGGAGCTGAGCAGCAGTAGGCCATTCATAGCTCAGACAGAGCTGCTCTTTGGTCTGATGGGATTGGGAACTCCCTCTGTCCCCAGGGACTGAGGCCAGGCATGGCAGGCATCCCTGCCCCATTCTGGAGCCGGGAGACCAAGAAAGGGGCCCAGAGGCATAGTACTGCCTTCACCTTCCCTGCCTTCTTTTCTCGCAGCCAGTACAATCCTCCCTTTTATTTAGCCTGGAAAAAAGAAAGTTAAGGTGAAGACTTATTGACTTTCTCTGAATGGGTCTACAGAGGTCAGACCTCTGCGGGGACAAGAACCAGAGGCAGTGATGGGCTGAGGGTTCAGCAGGAAGGATGGAGGTTAGACTTCAGAAAGGACTTCCCAGCTGTCCTGTGTGGGAGGTGTGACCTCTCCCCCCCCCCCCCCCCCGCCAGATCAGGGGGTGAGATGCAGTGGCCTCTTGGAGGAAGGCATTCCAGATGACAGCAGCCTTCATATTTAACATTCTGACTCTCCCCACTTCCCAGGCACAGAGCTATTTAAAGATCTGCTTGTCTCGAAGGGAGTGTTGGTGACAGTCCTGAGCACTAGGTCTTAACACCAGGGTTTCATGATTCTTTATGGCATTGAGCACGATTTTCACCCGGCAGTTTATTTCATTATTCTATTTTTTTTCCTTAATGGCCTTATTTTGCAGATGACTGAAACAGGCTGCCCACCCCTGTCCTGCCCTCCCTGTTGCCCTGCAGCTCAGTACCCCTTGATGCTGGTGGCTCTGAGGTCTCTTCTCCGTGGTGTTTATGCAGAGCTATTGGCGCCTGCTGGGCCCCCTGTTATTTGATCTCCTCCAGCAGTTACGTATTATTGACAGAGTCACCTCGTCCCCAGCCCCTACTCCTGATCCCCCCCTTCCCATCCCTCCCCATTTTAGGGGTGGGGCAGGGCTGGTAATGTAGGAGCTTTGGTTTGGACTGGGGGCTTTGGGACTCTCACTTGGCCCCTCTTTGCTGCCCCTCCCTGCCCTGAAGGGGAAACTAGCCAGTGCCAATGACCCCCTCTCTGAAGACTCTCCAAGCAAAGTGAAATAGAATCTGTTTCTCCCAGACTAGGGGTAGGGGTGGGGTGTTAGGGAGGGGGAGGGTATGAATGTTTGGTCCCACACCCTTAACTACCCAAATGCTGGACTCCGGGAGGCCTCTTGGTCACCCAGACATGAGCTAGAGTTACAGCCCTGGAGAATTTTTAGAGCTGAAAAGATCTTAGAGAGCATCTAGTCTAGTCCATTTTACAGTTTAAGTGGAACCAGCCAGAGGTGGCGTGACTTGTCCAAGGTCAGAAAGAGTCTGTGGCAGAGTCAGGACTAGAACCCGGGTCTTTTGATGCCCAGGCCAGTGCTCTTGTCACTTCCTCATAAGAATGGAACCTTATTCATGGTAAGGATCCACCCAGAACGTGAGCATCTCCTCCTCCTGAGGCAGCAACAAGGGAGTGTTTCCCACTAGAGGGCAGTGGGCCCTAGGGCCTTGGGACCTGAGAGGAGCCAGGGGAGCAGCAATGGCCCGTGTGCCCAATCCTGCCCCTCGGCAGGATTGCCTCTTAGCAGGGTGTCCAGGCCACACCAGTGAAGGGGAGCTAGCGCGGGATTTGACTTGTGATGCCCCAGGAAACAGGAAGAGAATAGGACTCTTCTTTCTGCTGAGTAGGTAGGAGGAGCTAAGGTCATCCTGAAAGTCCCCAATTCAACAGTGCTTTCAGGTTATTAAATGCTATTCAGCCAGCACCTGTGAAGCCCCTACTCTGTACTCACAGTTGTGTTTGATGATGGGGACTCAGAAATAAAAATGAATGGGTGTGGAGTAGGGAGAGGTGTTGTGGTTCAAAGCCTGCCCCTAATTGGACATCACCTTCACTTCTGGGGGCCTTGGTTTCCTCATCTGTAAAATGAGGGGGTTAGACTACAAGCCTGTAAGATTGGGGAAATTGATATTCAGAGAGTCCAAGTGACGTGGTCAGAGCCAGGAATTGAACCTTAGTGTCTTTGAACCCCAAGACCAGCTCATTTGGGTCCTGTAAGGGGCCCCAGTAAGTCAGTAAGTTGGAGTCAGAAGAGGAAAAAACCAGACCAGTCCTCCCACCAAGTAGAGAGGTGTCTGGCTTTTCAGACAGTCACAATGAGGCACGGCAGAGTAGGAGGTCGTTGTAAATGAGAGGAACATAGGAAGAGGAGTGGGGCTAGGAGAGGTGTTCTCTCAGGCTCTTACCCTTCCTGCACTACTCCCCAAGGTGAACATTTCACCCTGGGAGATCCTAAGTCCAAATTAGAGAGGAGACAGGCTTCTTCTTCATTCTCAACTACTACTTAACTCAGCCCATTTCACGCCTCCCCCTTCCTGTAGTGGTTAACAAGGCAGCTGGGTGACTGCCAGCCCAATCCCTGCCGGCTGGCTCCCTTCTTGGCTCTCAGGCATCGTTGGCACCAGGTCCTCTGTTCTCCTTCCAAATTACACCTCGTCTGCTTTGGGAAACCTGCCCTACCTGACTTTCAGTGTCTGTCCTCTTCCTTCCACCTTCAAGGCCCAGCCCCAGTCACTTGTCATCTAGTAACTCCGCCTACCCCCCTCCATCCCCATCATCCTTAGAAGTACAGCTTGGGAGACAACCCCCCCCCCAATCTGATCAGCCTCCTCAGTCACCCACCTAGTTCCAGACAAGATGCCATCAAAATCCTCACTAATAGAACTTTGTCCTCTTTCCTAACCATCCCAGAAGAGGCAGGCTGAGGTGGAGGAAAGAGAAAATAAACCTGGGAGGAAGAGGGCATGAGATATGTGCTCTAGTGGCTCAGGGGATGGTAGGGATCTACCCTGTGGTGAGGGAAAAATAGTGACTTAGAGTCATTGAAGATCTGAGCTGAAGGGAACTTTTGGGACCATCTAGTCCATCCCTTCTGGAAAAATGAGACCCAAGAGGCCAAGTGTTCTACCTACCCAGGGTTACCCAGGACAATAGCTGAGGCCTGAAACGATCTCCAAGTCCCGTCTGTCAGTCAGTGACCATTTATGAAGTACCTGCTATGTGCCAGGCACTAGGGATCCGTTCTCACATCTAGCGCTCATCCTGTCACAGCATGTTGTCTTGAGCCCCCTTAGACACGACCTCAGTAAGTTGGCATCACAGGGCCATGCCTGGCTGTCTTTGGGGAGGTCTCCCCACTCCCACTCCATCAGCAATGTCTCTAGGTTTCCCACTCCAAGACCTCCCAAACTCCCATAATTCAGCTCTGTGTCCCTGGTGTGTCGTCCATCCTTTCTGCCGTTTCTTATGTGAAGTAACTCTTATCACCCCTTTCTCTCCCCCCACCCTCACTTGTGTCTATTCTGCCTTAGTTTAGACCATCTGCCTTTTCCCCAGCCCTGCCCCATCTCCCCATTTCTAGGGTATTCTCAGGCCCCACTCACTTTCCTTTCCAACCTGATTTTTGTGTGTCCCCTCCCCAATCCAAGGTCCTGCTTTTCCACTGTTGTCTCCTTATAAAGTAATTCTGTACTGTTAACTCTAAAATAATCAGGGTCTCATTTGCATGATGTTTAGCATCTAGTTCCATGTAATTAATTTTCTATCCGAAGGCACAGAAACCATCTTCGTCTTTTTCCCCCCTCCCCCAGTCAGCCCTCTGCTCTCTTTTGTCAGTGCCCCTTCACTCCTCCCTATGGTCTCCAGCCTGGGCTCTGGTCTATCAGGTTGGGCTGGCCAAGCCTGGTTGGGCTCTTCGGTATCTTTTGTGGTGGGATCAGCTTGATCTTAAAGCCTGACACACCCCACACTGGCTGCCCCCCTCCAAAAAAAAAAAAAAACCAAAAAACAAACTCCACCCCAGGATCCGGCTTCTCACCCCCAGCCCAGAAGCTGAGGTCACAGTCTCCCCCTAAACTGTTGTCTTTGGGTGGAGGGAGCTGTCATCGACCACTGCTGGGGGGGGGGGGAGGTGTGGCCCCTGGGGGCTGTTGTTTTAGAGATTAGGTAACTTGGCAGTCCTGAAGAAACAGGTTCCCAGGCCTGCGAAGGACCATGCTAGAGCTGCCGCTGGTATATCCCTGGCTAGGGGAGAAGATGATGGAAAAGAACCACGATTTGGGGCGAGGGATTTCTCTAGTAGGTCCAAGAATTGGTTCTGAGTTTTCCTTAGCCGTTTGGAAAACAACTAACTTTCCCTAGGCCAGGAAATGAAAAGCTAAATGTTTGGAATAGAGGGTTGTGGGCAGATGGAAGACTGTGACTACAATAATGTAAATGAAAAGAACAACCCCCCACCCCCAAAACCTGAAACTGAGAGCTGAGTACAAGGAGATAAGAAGAGGCCCCCTCCCTCCTCCTTTCTGTGCCGGTATGGGAGTCTCTGGGTGTGGAACATTACTCATACTGTCAGACTTGGGGGGTGGCAGTTCTGTTGAACGGTCTCCTCCCCCTCCCCACTGGGCTCCCCCCCCCCCGTTTTTTGTAGGGATAGCTCACTGGGTGGGGGGGGGGACTCTGAAATGAAAGTGATGTAAAAACAAAGGCTATCAATAAAAACATTTTTTCTAAAATGTGAGGATGTAGAATTAAAAGCCAGAATAGGAGGTTGTGTGTGGAGGTGAGGAGGCCCCTGAGACAGAGACACCACCTGAGCAGTGGGAGGCTAGGCTGGAGACCCCCGGAGGCTCTTCTGTTAGCCGGGCCAACTCTAATCCCCTGCCCACTGCACTTACCCCAATCCTCAGGTCTCGCTCAATGCCTGGTTCTGGTCCACAGTCTTTCACACAAGGGACACAAGCCTCACTGAGGTGAGTACCCTTCTTGTGCCAAGGGAGCCTGAGGTACCAAGGTAGGGGCTGGGGCTGGGCATCCTTCCCAAGCTCTTCTGTCCTCCTGTCCCAGGCTTACATTCTCAGGTCCCCATGTGTTTCCCGCTCTGGGTTAGGGGAGTGGGGTTCATTCCTCAGCTGACTGGGAAAAACACATTCACTTTCTTCAGAATCTTGTCTGCCTGCTCCCTACCCCCATTCTACCCTCTCATGAGTAAGAGAAGCAGGTATAAACTCTCACTGATCTTGCCACATCCCCCAGAAAATGGACTACTTCTGTGCCTCCACGGTGATTCTGCATTCCATCTATCTGTGCTGTGTGAGGTGAGTCCCCCCTCTACCACCAGGAAGGCCCACCCAGCTGGTCTGGGAGTGAGTTCAGATGGGTACAGGTAAAGTGCTGAAAAAGGCTTCTCGTGATTCTCCATCCACCATCTTCCCTGAGTTGGTTCATTTGGCAAGCTGTCTGGCATCCCCACTCCATTTTCTGGGCCCCCCGCTTTACATCTAGATTGTCATCCTGGAATGGATACAGGAGAAGGGATAGTAGAGTAGAGACTCATATGAAGCAGGCACCAGGGGAATGGGTGTGAGACTCCCTTTTGTGGCTTTTTTCTGTGTCAGAGGCATTAGTGGCACTCAGTCCAGTGGCTTCCAAGAAAATGGATGACTGGACCTGAGTGGCTCTTTGGTGGTGGTGGCGGGGGGTGTCACAGGACTCTGGGGCTACAGCGCCCAGCCGTGGCCAGTGCCTTCGGGGGGTTCCTGCTGCTGCTGCTAGCTGCCCACATCTCCTACCTGAGCCTGGTGCACTTCGACTACGGCTACAACATGGTGGCCAACGTAGCCATGGGTGAGGCTGGGCTGAGGGTGAAGTGGGAAATCATGTGGAAGGAAGTGGGGTGTTGGGATAAGAGAGGTAGTAGTGGCATAGGAAGAGTCTAGAGAGACAGAGCAAGACCCTGGTTTGGATTATGTTCTTCCAACCTGTAGAAATAACCAGTTGGGCTTCAGTGGCAGTGGCAGAGACCCACTGAAGCGGGGCAAGTAGAGGGTTGTACTTCTGCTGGGGATGTGATTAATGAGGTGGATTTGGAAAGAAGACAAAGAGTAGGCCTGGTGGAAGTTGTGGGGGGTGTTCTGAGCAGTAACGTGTGTGGTGGGGGGATAATGGTCATGGGACAGGACAGGAGAGGAATGGGGTATAGAACAAAGGGAGTCTGCAGAGAAGTTTGACTAGAAAAGGAAGTCACCCAGGAAAATCAGGGGAGCTGGGATTAGAGAACAAGAAGGACTTGGAGGCCCTAGGGCCAGAGTCCAAGAAGAAATCCAGGAGGGGTGAAGGGCTCCTAGACACCCTCACCATTCCCTTGTGGTCCTCCTTCCCCAAGGCTTGGTAAATCTGGTGTGGTGGCTGGGCTGGTGTCTCTGGAACCAGCCTCGGCTGCCCCATGTGTGGAAGTGCGCTGTGGTGATGCTTCTGCTGCAGGGGCTGGCTTTCCTTGAGCTGCTGGACTTCCCTCCCATCTTCTGGGTCTTGGATGCCCATGCCATCTGGCATATCAGCACCATCCCCATTCACTTCCTCTTCTTCAGGTTGGTACCCACCATGCCTATCTCCCCCCTGTCCCAAACTCATGCCCCATACTTACCCCCCACAGGAGATATGCCCATCTGCCTTTGTTAGGCTCCTATGCTCCAGCCCCATGGGTGCCCCCTTAGCCCACTCCCCATTTGTATCTCTCATGTACCAACTGACTCCACCTCCCAGAGAAGACACTGACCACCATGCCCTTTCAGCCACTCTCCTCACCTTGCCCAGGTTGGAGGATGGGAGAGGTCTTTCAGTTCCATCCTTAGAGGTTCATGATGTCTGCCACTCCCCACCTCCCACTTTCTAGAGGACCCCATCTTTTCCTCTTGGGCTACTAAGGAGGGCCTCAGCCCCCATTTTTCTACCCTAGGCAGAAGGGTAGGTGGGGTTGGGGGCCCAGGTACCACTGCCCTTCCTTCTTTCATTTCCGCAGTTTCCTGATGGACGACAGTCTCTACCTTCTCAAGGACATCTCAGTCCCACTAAAGATGGATTGAAGAGGTGGGGGACAGTTCTACTTTGCCCAGCCTCAGCTCTGGATGTTGGAAGCTACAGCCCACAGGGTAGTGTGATTTTTTTCCCTTTACTCCTTAAACTTGGACTCTGGTCAGGGGTGGAGAAGTGGCTCCAGGACTCTGCCCCTTCCTCCACTCCGTTGCCCTCTAACTGCCTTCAAAGTGCTATTTCCCGTTCCGTCACCCCACCTCCGTTCTTCAGACATTGAGTGGGGTTAGTGGCTGAGCCTGACGAGCGGATGGAACACTCCCTCACTGACCCACAGAAATTGAAAGACAGTGAATGTGCACCTAGCCCAGGTGCTCAAGGGGAGCTTCCTTCTACCCCTCAAAATGCCTGCTTCGCCTCCATTCTCGGTGGGCTTCCCTGCATCCACTTCCTCTGTTCTGATGGGAAGTGAGAAGGGGGCTTTCCTTCTTTTTTTTCCCCAACAGATGCCCTCCCCCATGGCACCACTAGGTGGCGATGGATGCTAGTTATCTGGCATACCCAGGTTGGGGCTACTGGTCTCACCCCCTCAGGAGAGGTACAGAGGACCCATAGAGTGGTCCTAGAAGAAGCAGGCCCTTGCTTTGTCCACACACTCAGGAGGAGTCACCACCTTCCTCTTTCAGGGCCCCAAGCCCATCTCCATCCCCTAGCCAGGCAAAAAGCCAGAGAAGCCCAGCCACTGTTTGGCTCGTTGTCAGACTGGCGCATTCTCTTGCTTCTCAGGGAAAAACGGGGTGTGAGTGTGTGCCTGAGTATAGATGTGAGTGTGGGCACGTTTGTGGGGATTCAGTCAAACTCAGCAAAACATGTCTTGGGCTTTCTAGCAAGGCACCCTGCTAGGCAAAGAAAGCCCTGCGGTTGAGGATGGAAGTGGATGAAGGTTTTTGAATGGAGGGGTGTGTTTGTATATCCTCTCCGCAACCCTCCTCTCTGTCGTTATCCTTTATTTCCACCCAAAGCGCAGCGCCTTGCTTCCCCTCTCCATCCCTTAGTTTGTGCAGGGATGACCCTAGTCCCATCAGGGAGCCCTCGCTTGGGTGCCATCTGATCCACAGCCTGCTTGCTAGCACCAGCGCCAGACACCGTCATGTCTCTGACTCCCAAGTCACTCAACCTTTGTGAGGCCCCATTTCTTCATCTGTAAAATGGGGGGAATGGTACCTCTAGTACCCACCTCACAGGGCTGTTGTGAGGCCTCAACAAAATCATGTATGTAAAATGCTTTGCAAACCTTAAGCTGCTCTGTGTATTATCTTTGTGTTTTAGGGGAGAAGAGGGGCATCAAAGAGAGGGGGGAAAGACAATCGTCTTTCAGGGAGGGGAGTCTTCCTGCTCTCCCCCAAGGTCATGCCTAGGGGCTGTGCCAGCACAGCAGGGCCTGAGTGCAGGGGACCCCTGCCAGTTGCTGGCAGCCCTGGCACATTCCTGCTGTACAGTGGCACAGAGTGGCACTTTGTAGGTTGCAGAGACTTTCCATCCCAAAGGAAGGCCTAGTGATTGGAGGGAGTTGGGGCTCTTTCTCCTACCCCTCCCACCTCCAGTTTGAGGACTGGGGGGGGGGGGTCCTGTATTTGGTGCCTGTGACAATGAAAATGTATGAGGGAAGGGGGGAGGAATGCCTCTAATAGACCAATTCAGAGCCTTGCTTTCCTAGCCATTACTAAATGTGCGAGAAGAGGGAAGGAAAGGAAAGAAAGGAACTGAGAACCAGGGGAAACATGTAGAACCTTGGACATAAGGGGAACTAGAAACAAAGGGAGATATACCTAGAACCAAGTGAGGTTCGATGACTGTTGAGTATTTGACCAAAGTAGGGGAAAGGGGAGGGTGCCCTGTGTCCCTCATTTTCATCTTCCCTACCCCCAAGGTTCTTCTTCAATTCCATGATTTTCCCTAACCTGTCTCCTTCAGTCTCCTTTTCCTTTCTTTCCTCACCTCCCTCCTCAGACCCCTTCAGCTTAGAAACAGTCAGTAAGGAGGCTGACCCAATGTTATGCAGACAGCATGAAAAAAGAAAACTTTATTGAATAAGAGTACTGGATTTTTGTGTCCTTCCTCCCTCCTCCCCCATGCCTAGCAAAAAGAGAGGCTTCCAGACACGTGCATTTTCTGTGAGAATCACAGCAACTACAACACCTAAGAAATGGGGATTATATTTTTTATTGTGCCAGCTCAGGCACAGTATGGACTCTGAAATGAATGGGCACCAGACATCGGATATCTCAGGCCCTTCATGCCACTGTCTTCTGTGCCCAAACAAAGAAGATGCCTTTGACATCATCCACATCAGTCTGCAGGTATGCAGGCATGGTATATGTTCGGAAATCTCGGATCTGGTACCCACTTTGACTCAAAGCTTCTCTCACCTCCCCCTCCTGAATGGGTACCACAGATAGCTTTGCCTCCCCTGCCAGGTACCAGGACTCCTCCAGGGCTCCTATGAGCAGGAGGTGCCCACTGGGTCTTAGCAGGGTTGTGATGTGGTCCAGAGCCCTCTGGAAGCTGGCATGGTCAGGGCTCACTGCCTCCAAGCAGAAGGCTGAGACCAGGGCATCCGTGGGCAAAGGAGCTGGGCTCCCAGGACCCAGTGGCTGGGGCTGGTGCACATCAATGGGCAGGATCCTCTTCACTTTGGAACGAAGCTGACGCTCCTTCTCCTGCCAAGACTCTCTGTGCAGGGAGACAAGGGTGGAATGAGGACCCAGACTAGTGGGATACAACCCTTTCAAACTCCTCAGTGCCTCAATCTCCCAGTAAGATCCATGGATGTCCAAATTCTAGCTTTGCCTATTACCAACAAGCTTTTTCCCTTCAGCCCTGTCCTGATCTGATGCTTAGCCCTTTCCTGTATGATGGGCTTTACTGTTCATACCCAGCTTTCTTGGGTTCCACCTCATGTCCATTTCTCCATATGAGATGCTTGCTTTTCACCATGCCAGTTATACCCAGTTACTGACTTCTTTCTAGTTCTCCGTACCTGGTGACTACCCATGGTGAATTTCTCATGTTCTACCTACTATGCTCATGTAACTGCAACAAATAGATCCACCAACATCTCCTTACATCTGTTCTCTGCTTTACTTCCTCCCTTCAGCTCACATCTGTCTCCTCCCCTCCTGTCTCAGGCTCCTCACTCATGTCGACTCCACCTATGGTATCTCACTCACCCTTTGCCCTCAATGAAGCACACGTGTTGACTGTAGAGGCTCCAGTCAAAGGCACCATGGTCCTGTCGCAGCCAGACTCCCAGCTCCTGGCGATTCACCTCCAAGAAGTCAGTCATAGTGATGTCCTCAAAGTGGGCGCTAGCACTGAGCACCTGGTACACGGTGGGGCCAGAGCCAATATCAATGAGGCTGTGACCAGTCACCTCACCTGTGGGACCAACAGTCAACTTTTCAGTCATAGTATCCCCCTCCTTGACCTCTGCTTCGTTCTTCACCTGTGCAGACCTTCTCTCTCTGTCTGTCCCCATCTTCTCTATTCCCTGTCTCTCGATTTTTGTTCTCTCTCTACCTCATATATTTGTCTCTGTCTCTCTGTATCTCAGTTTCTGTCTCTCTCACCCTATCCTCTCTCTTTTTCTGTCCCTGTCCCCCTATCCTGTCTCTTTTTTTGGTCATCTCTATTAGTCTGTACCCATCTGAGTTACAATCTCATCTTTCTCCAATTCTGCCTGCTTCGGTTTGCGGCTCCCCTTCCCTTTTCATGCCATGCCTCAGTTTCCCCCGGCCCTTGCTGCTCACCCGTGGCAAAGGTTTCAGCTAGACATCGCAGTTTCCAGGGTCCCACGCCGTCTGGTTGGCTCAAGTCCCCTCGAGGGGGTCCATAATTGTTTCGGAGATAGGAGCGAGGCTCGAAGCGCTGGTAACTGGCCGCCACCGCCTCCCTACCTGGGTCCGAAGATGCCCCGGTCACCGCGTCCTTACCCTCGCTGCTCATCCTGCAACCTGCTGCTTGATCTCTCGCCCGGGTCAGGGCTATATATCTCCTGCTGGATCTCCCCACCGCGGCCCCATCCATCTCTCCCCCCACCTAACCAGACCCAGTGCAAGAACTGCGGAACAACGCCCCCCCCACCTCACCGCCCCCCACCACGCTGGACTGGAAAGATGGGCTGCCCCAGGCGACAGTCCCTGTGCTTGTAATCCCATCCATCTCGCTTAGTGTCAGCGGCCGCCGGAGCACAGCGTCCAGGTTGGGGGGGGTTGGGGGGGCGCGGGTAGGGAGAGGAAGGGACTATGCACGCCCGAGGCTTAAACACCGGCTCCAGGTCCCAACCACGCTTCTGCTGCATCTTCATGTCCAGCTCCACTGCTCCCTCCCCTCCAAAGCCCACCTCCTGGGTGCTTACTCTCCAGTTCTTTCCAATTCAATTCAACCAATATTTATTAAACTCTTACTATACGCCGATCACGGTACTAGGCACTTGGAATACAAAGACTAAAAAATCCATCGGTCTCTGCCCTGAAGGAGTTTACATTCTTCACCCCCCACCCCCACCCCCCGCAATTCTCTTACAGGCTACTGTCTGTTCTCCAGTGCTGAAGCCTTACCCTCTCTCTGGTGCTGTGGAAAGAGCACTGCTCTTTTTTTTTTTTTTTAAGGCAACTGGGGTTAAGTGACTTGCCCAGAGTCACACAGCTAGTAAGTGTTATGTGTCTGAGGTCGGATTTGAACTCATCCTCCTGACTACAGGACCGGTGCTCTATCCACTGCTCCACCTAGCTGCCCCAAGAGTACTGTTTTTTAAGTAATAATTGCACTTTAAGAAATCCAAGACCGTTCAGACATACCCTTCACTTCATCCTCAATACAATTCTATGCTTTAGGTATTTTTACTATCTCCAATTGTCTATTGTTGTTTAGTCTTTTTCAGTTGTGTCTGACTCTTCCTGACCCCATTTGGCATTTTCTTGGCAAAGGTACTGGATTGATTTGCCATTTCCTTCTCCAGCTCATTTTACAGATAAGGAAATTGAGACAAATAGGGTTAAGTGACTTGCCCAGGGTCACACAGCTAGTAAGTGTCTGAAACCAAATTTGAACTCAGGAAGATGAATCTTCCTGACTCCAGGTCTGGCATTCTATCCACTGTGACGTACCTGCCCAATTTTCTGTAGAGATGAAGAAACTGAGGCTCAGAGATTTGGTGACTTGCTTGGGACACACAGCTAGTAAGTGTCTGAGGTCTTGACCCCACATCCAGTTCCCGATACATTAGCTTTCCTCATCTGTAGAATGCTGGGGTGGGATGGTGGGGGTGGTTGTGGTCCTTAATTAGGGGTATCTTCCAGCTCAAAGTCCTCAGAACCTGTCAGTAAGTTTCTAAGACTTCTTCCCGTTCATCCTACTTCTTCTTCAGTTCCTCCTGTTCCTCTTCCCTCAGAATCTCACTGCTAAGCCTCAGTTTCCCCTCTGATTGCATTGTACCCCACAGCCCTTTTAATTTCTTCTGCCTTCAAGCGTCCCTGGGCTGCTCCCTCCCTCCCTTCTCCCTCTAATCTTTCCCTCCACCCCTCCCACTCCGTCCCCCAGGACAGTCCGTTCCTTAATGCCTTCTGTATCCTGGCCTCTGTTGCCCTGGGCCCCAAAGCTGGCCAAGTGGTGTCTACCTTATGCGCCTCAGCCTCCCCCCTACCCTTCGATGGCTATTATGATAGGGGAGTGAGCAGGGCGACCAGGGCCTGCAAAAGTGGAGAATTGAGAGTTAATGAAGTTAGCAGGCCTCCGGGCCCCTCTGCTCAGATCCACTTATCTAGTCCTGAACATGGGTTGGAAGGGGCATAGGGGTGGAACTGAGGGCAGAAGGTTCTGTTCCAGACTGGGGAACAGGAGGGTGGGACCCTGGCAACTCCAATTCATCAGTAGCCAACTGGGGAGATGGAGGACAAGAGGATTCTATCGACACAAGTGATAAGAATAGAAAAAGTTGCTGTCCTGGGATTCTCCCATTCTCTAGGGGAAGGAGGAATAGAGGTAATAACTACCATGAAGAGAGAGACTCTGGCAGAAATGAGAGTACCTTTTGAGAGGAAAGAAGATGGGAGATATGCTACGGTCTTATGGGAATTTGTGGATAAACTCTTCTGTTCTTAAGGGTTTTCTTTCTTAAAGCCAGTAGGGGCCTGGATGCCCAGATCCTTTCTCTGAGGCTTCTGGTCTCCTTGGTTTTTCTGGACTCCTCCTCCTGCAGGGAGAAGGGCTACCCAATGTCTTCCACTAATCACAACTCAATTTCCCTTATACCCAGGAGAGAGGGAAGGCATATTTTGGCTAGGCAGGATCATAGAATTGAGAAGGGACCTTAGAGATAGATGTAGTCTAAACCCTCTCAGTTTTCCAAATGGGATAACTGAGGTCGAGAGTTGGGATCTGAACCCAGATTTTTGGACTTTGAATCTAGTATTCTTTCCCTTTTACTCACTCCCTTCTCTGAGTTGGACCCTCCTAAGCATCCAGATTAGCCTTTCCTGCCCTGCCTTGTGCCCAGAGCCTCCCATTAGCCTTAGATTCTTTCCCAAGGGCCTGGACTTTCTGTCTCCCTCCTACCACCCTGCCAACCTGCAGTGTGTAGGGGCTAGAACAGTGATTGCTTGGGGGTAGGAGGAATATTTGCTGGTGGAGGGGGGGGAGGAAATAGTAGTGAGAACATTATCTTCTTGCCTGCCCTCCATGGTTGGGACATGAGTCACCATGACATCTGAGCACCCCGCATCCCCTGTGCCCTCAAGTTCCCTGCATTTGTGGGAACAGGACATAACTGGGTTTCCAGAGGAGACCCAAATATCTGACTCCATCTTCCTGAGGCATTCCTTAAGAACAAGAACTGGAAATTGGAGGGAGGAATTAGTGTCATTGACCTCTGCCTGCCGCCCTGTCTCTACCCAGCTTAACCATGGACAGTCCTAACATTAGGTCTTAGGGATCAATCTTTCCACCCATTTTTCCAGGTTCTTGGAACTCTCTGCCTGTGTCCAGTGTTGGGGGAGGGGGGGGAAGCAGGCAGCTGCCCCTATTTACAGCTTTGTCCTTGTACCCTAGCCTGAGCATTGCCCAGAAGCCACACTATATTTAACCTAGGACCTTGGCAGGAGCTGGAGGGCCATTTGCAGATCTGGACATCAAAAGAGTGTGGGCATTAGGGGGCTGGGCAGATGTAACCCCATGCCCAGGGGGCCAGAGGGAAAGGCAGACAAATGCAGAGCTAGTTTTCACTTTTATTGTAGCACTAACAGATGATGCTTGGGTGGGACCCTGACACTACTCCCCCATCCCTGTCTTCTCCCATTGGGGCTCCTGCCACCGCCAGTCTTACATCCCCCTTCCATCTGGTCTCTTTCAGGGGGCTTTCTAATCCCCCATTCACATCTCTCCTTTTTTCTCTAGATCCTGGTGTTCAGCCATCTAGTCTGTCATCTAATTCTTGTCTGCAATTTTCAGATGATGTTGATATACCCTAGCTCCTCATCTTTTTACTATTCTGTCCTCCCTCTGGGAGCTCAGAAGACCCACATGTTCCACTTTTCAGCTCCCACTTCCCCAACGCAGGTCTGGGCTAACTACAAAGCTTTAGTGACCAGTCCTCCCCTCCCCCCCCCCGTTCTTAGCTGGGTAATGCCCACAGCAGGGTGGGCACAGGAGTCAGGGGAGAAGGGATTTCACCCCCAGAGTCCCCTTCAGCCTCTCTGTGCTTCCTGGGACAGGGATCGGGATAGAGAGCGGCGGGGAGCACCCGGTTTGCCAAACTGGGGATGGCTGGCAGCCACCACAGGAGGCAGCTCCTTTTTGATCTCAACCACCTCTCGCCGGTCCAGGCACTGCCCCCCCAGAGCTGTTTCCAGAGCCAGGAGCTCCCGAAGCTGGATGGGGGTGGCCTCGCGATCTTCCTTCAAGCCCACCTTCGAGGGTGTGAAGATGGGCAGAGGCAGTGTCCTCGAATACGGCAGCTGGTACTCCTGCAGCCTCTGGCCAAGGATACCCATCCTCATCACCAGCAAGGGTGACTGCTGCACCAGCGCCTGGCACTGCCCCTGCCGGTGGTATGTCTCTCGGTGTTGGCTATCTTCTTCATGCACAGAACAACTGGGAAAAGAGCATTGTATTGGGAAAGGAGAACCCTAGGGAAGAGCCGCTCCCCACATCCCTTGTTCCCAAGGGTGAGTGGTGCCTATTTCTGCTTATGGGCATCCCTGCCTTAACAGCATCGGCGCTTATTCTCCACCTGGCCCAGGGAGAGGAGGTTCCCTTGGTTTGGTCTTCGGGTGGGAGTGAAGGGACACTTACCCCTCCTCTGGCCGGGAAGACAGTGTCAGATCCTTCCATTCAGCCCAGAAAGTCTCCCTGCGGTCTCCATTCTCTTCTGATACCTCGCAGCTCAACTTGAATGCAGCCATGGTCACTCTGGGTCAGCTCTCTCTCTCAATCTGGTCTTCTCTCTGATGCTTTATATAACCCCCACCTCCCCCCCACCCCCAATCTATTTTCAGGCCCATTGCGAAGGAACTATATCTGGAGCCCAGACTCAGGGAAGGAAGGGGGGGGGGCACAGTGGGTAGAGTGTGCATTTTATTTAAGCGGGGCAAAGGAGGGACAGAGATTGTCTACTTTCAATTCCTGGGGGGGGTGAGAGGGTGGGACAGGATTAAACACTGCTCCCTCTGACTGACTTCCCTAGGACACCCCAGGGCTAGAGGATGGGACAGAAATCATAGACTTGGCTTGGTATTGATTGCCCAGTCTCCTTCTGGGGAGTGAGGCAGGAGACAGACACTTCTGGAGCCCTCAGCACTCCCGCTGCACCTTCAGAGGCCAGCCTCATGTATGAGTCACCGGGATCCGTGCCCAGAACTGCTGGGAACAATAATCTTGCCCTCCCTACTCCAGCTCAACTCTCTCTGCAGAGGAAAGTTTGGGGACATTTGTAAACAGATCAGCACGTGTGAGGCTCCAGTGCCCAGTCTCACCTCCAGGGGTTGGCAGGCTTCACGCCCCCAAAATCATCCTTTGTCCTTTCTCCTGGGCGTGCTGGCCCCCCTGGCCCTGACATATTGTCTGCCCTCTGGGTTATCTAAAGGGGTAAACAGCTCTGCGTTCACAAACCATTGGGACTGTAAGAAAAAGGGCACACTCCCCTGTTGCCCAACAGTTCCCTCTAGAGAACAGTAACCAGTTTAGTTCAGTGTTCATATGCCCATCCCTTCCTTAGAGAGGTGGGGGAGGGTGGTGGTGGTGGTGGTGTTAATCCCCTTTCTGGTCTCCTGGGCACCGATGACCTTTGTTTGTTGTTTGTCTTTCCTAAGGCCAAGCTGGACCAAAGCAGCTGCTCCCCAAGGTGGTGCCAGCACTGGAGAGTGGCAGTCTCTGGGAAAGGCAGGGTCCCCTCAGCTCCACTCACTTGAGAATGGGGAGGTGGGGTAGCCTGGCCTTGGACGAAAGGTCAGGCCTAGGTTCTCGTCCTATCTCTGCTGAGTTCTTACTACAACCTAGGCAAGTCCTTTTCCCTCTTAGGACCTCACTTTTCTCCTTTGTGAAAATAAGAGGGTTGGACCTTTCTTAGGTCCCCTCCAACCTTGAAATCTGCTCCTTACAGCAGGTGTTAATTAATTGTTGTTCTGTTTCAGTTGTGTCCAACTGTCTGTGGTTCCATTTGGAGTTTTCTTGGCAAAGATACTGGAGTGGTTTACCATTTCCTTCTCTAGTTCATTTTACAAATGAAGAAACTGAGGCAAACAGGGTTAAGTGACTTGTCCAGGGTCACACAGCTAGCGTCTGAGGCCAGCTTTGAACATAGGAAAAGATGAGTCTTCCTGACTGCAAGACCAGCACTCTATCTACTGCACTAGCTAGCTGTCTGTGCTAATTAATGCCTTGAGCAGTTCCCAGCACAAGGACTAACTGGGGTGGTGGTGGATATCCATAGCAAGGCTTTATGGGTGGAAAAGAGCACAGATCATAGAGCAGGAAGGGGTCTTAAAGATCACAAAATCCAATCCTCTCATTTACAAAGAGAGTAGAGCTGGAAAAATGCCCCTGGCTCCCCAGTCCCTCTAGGATCAACTGCAGAGTGCTCTGCCCTCAGCCCTATCTTATATTTCCTATCTTATTCTCTATTACACCCTTCCCTGAACTCTGGCCAGACTGGCCTGTTTCTCTAACCCAGCACACGGACCTCTTATCTCCATGCCTTTGCCCAGGCTGTTTCGAAGGCCTGTTATGCATTCTCTCCTCTCTTACTGTCTCCCTCCAGCCCCCCCCCCCACGTCCCACTGTTAGTTGTACTTGCCTGCCTGGTCACAGGTCATACCCTCCCCAACTTCAGTGGCTAGAGAAAAACAGGAATAAATCTAGACCCATAACCAGACCTCCCCCCCCTCCACCCATGCTCAAATGGGGTAGCTTGTGCAAGTACATAGGGTAGAGGAACGGCAGACATTCTTCCTGGACCCTGAGCTCGGAGACTGAGGGGATTCCAGGGACAAGAGTGAACAGTGGCTGAAGTTCTGCCCCCCTCCCCAGATCCCCTTCCCTGGCTTCCTGGTCCCACCCAGCTGACTGCCCCTTCCCCAAAGGTCACCACAACAAAAGGCCAGACAGGCTTGTTCTAATCAGGTTTTTAATGAGCTGGGGCAAAAGCCCCCAAGGAAGCACTAGTGGGGGGGAGGGAAAGGGAGGCAGACATAGCACCCAGGCAGGCAAGGTCATATCCCCTCCCTCCACCAGTTTTTGTGGAAAAAAAAAGAGTCCCAGACTCTTTAAATAATCACTATAAAAAAAACTGATGGGAAATCTGGGGGACCAATGATTCCCTTTCCCACCCACTGGTTATAGGGAGTGCCTGGTCCTGTAACACAGGCCTAGGGACACCTCTGCCTGTCACCCCAAGCCCAGACACCTATCACACCCTGACACCGCCAAGGAGTCACATGGTGGTTGCTCTCCCCTCAATTATGTCCTGCCCCCCTGTGGTAGGACATGTAAATACCAACAAGACAGACACACCCCTAACCAGCAGAGTGAGCCCAAGTCTGTCCACCCCCTGCCCCATAACACTTTTGAGAGCTGGTCTTTGAGGGCCAGGGGCTCCCAAGGAACAGTCCGGCTCTGGGGGGCGGGGGAAGGGAGGAGCCCTACAGCCCCCAAAGCCCTTGGCCAGGGCGGGCTTGTAGTCCAGGCTGAAGAGGAGGATGTCTCCAGGAGTGATGGATGGCCCTGTTGCCTTGTTGATGGTGATGGCTGAAGGCTGCTATGCTTGAGCACATAACTCCCCGACCCGCTGCCGGAGGTGGAAGGCAAATTCAAACATGGTGGCGGCCAGGCTCTGGTGAATGAGGTATCGGGGTAGTCGGCCCTAGTTTGGGGGGAAGAGAGTCACTAGACCAGAAGGAGTTAAATGTCTTTCTTGTTCCCCTCCTCCCTCCAGGTTTAGAGAGGGAGAGAGAAGCGGTCCTTGTAAGTCCTCTAGCAGAGGATGCGGAGCCTGGGCTCAGGCAGCATGGGCTGGGGTACCTGGTCACCAGCAGGGGGCCCCTTCTGACCTGACAACAGGGGGAGGGGTTAGGTAGCTCAGGAAGGGGCCAGGCTCTGAGAACACGGTGTTTGTGCAGCCCTGGCTGAAGCCCCATGAACAGCCCCAGAGCTGGGAAGGGGGTGGGATGAAGGAGAAAGAGCACCCCCAGTCTCAGAGGGGTGGGGAAATGGTGTGGAGGGCGGCATAGTGTGCTTCTGTGGGCCGGGGGGTCTGGGCAACATTCACACAGTCCCACTTCTAGGTACCTTGAGATCTGTGTTGAGGACCCAGACAAAGGTGCAGACTCGAGGGTTGTTGGGTGACTTGAGAACAATGAAGCCACCAGGTCCATTCTCACCCCTGGGGAGCAGGCAGGTAAGAGTAAGGCACAGTCTAGGCACCCTGAACAACCCGCCCCCTTCCTTCTTGCCTCATTCCTGAACCTGAGCTGGGGATGAGGGGAGAGGCGGTGAGGTGCTGTGGGGGAGCGCCCAAAGATCCCTAATCCGGGGGTGAACCCAGGAGGCCCTTGGCAGGGGGTGGAGGTGGGAGTCCCCACTCTTGGTTCCTTCACTCAAGCCTAGCTCACCCCCGTCTCTGTTCCTGGGTGACTCAATCCCAGCCCCAAAGGGACAGGCATTCTCGGTGACCCTCCTGTGAGGTCAGGGGCCTCCTCCCATCAGCCTGGCTTTCTGAGGAACCTCAGCAGCAAGACTGCCATAAGGGTTTTATAAGGACAAGGCCCAAGGAAAAACCTTTCTGTCCTCCCTGAGGCAGAGACCCTGGAAGGAGCAGACAGAGTCCAAACATGAGCTGTTTGCTCCCTTGCTGCAGGGACTGAGGTAAGAGAGGGTAACGACTAGGGCTTAATGTGCAGGAGGGGCACCTAAGGAAAACTGGGAGGACAGCCCGCGGAAGATTATGCCTGCCTCTCCTCTCTTCTGGTGGGGTTCTGAGCCTCTTCATAAAGAGGGACAGAGATGCCCAAGACTATGAAGTAGTCCAGCTGAGAACAGGCCTTCCCCCAGACAGATGCTCCTCTTCCTCTAGCCCACCCTGGGTGCCTCATGGCAGTGTCTGTTCTCCCTCTCCTGCCCTCCCCAGGGGGCTGCCAGCTCGAGACTCCACACTCAGGATTCCTGACTTCCCCCAACCACCCCCCTCGCTGCTGGGCTCCAGTAACTGCCCACAGTGACCAGTGGAGAGCACCCAGGGGCATTAAGTGGGTTAGTGGTTTATCAAGTGACGTCCAGAGGATTAGGGAACATAAACATAGGGTGGGGATTGGGGGGCGTTTAAAGGACATTAACACCATACAAGCTGCCCTGAAGTTCCTGCTGAGACACGCCTGTGGACAGAGCCATTCTGTTCAGAGAAGGGACTGGCTGAAAGGACCCTAAGGGCCTTACCTGACATATTTGTGCAATGGGGGCTTGGCAAAGTGGGTGGTAGCGATGCCTGAGGAGAGGTATCTGTCCCTCCGCCTCTCAATTCGCCGGACATTCACAAAGTCCCTGGGAAAATAAAGGAACGGATAAGTTTAAGATCAGGAGGTCACATTCCTGGCTGGCCCCAAGAAAGCAAGGAAGATAATGGCTGGAAGGGGAGCAATCAGAATTGGGGATGGGGTGGTGATGGGACGGGGGGAGGGAGAGAAGGGAGATAGGGGAGGGAGGAGGGGGAAGGGAGAAAATATGAGAATTAGGAAAGTGACTTGATTGGAGAGGGAAGGATAGAATTGGACCAGTCCCTGGTTCCTCCAACTCAGGTTTTACGATTCTGTCCAATAAGGAGGCATTCAGAAGAGAAAGGCAGGGAGGCAGCCTTTACCTGGGCGAAACCACACCTCCTGCAGCCCCTGAAGACACATCATAGGTGATGAGAGTGTTGTCTTCTACTCGATGAAGGATCTGAGGTTCAGGAGACAATCAATTTGACCCTCTACCAACCACGATGTCTGGGCTCAGCATTTCAGTGCTGAGAGGAGGCTGTGGAGGGAGGGATGGGGGTCCCGGCGCCTCTGGCTCCATGGCGGATCCTTCCATTCCTACCCCAGGACTTCAATGCTCCCCTCCACTAATCAGGGGAAACAGGCGAGCAGCCTAAGGTCCCCCCCTGCCGGGGCAAGGTAGGGTGGGGAGAGTTGGGGGTCTGGGGGAGATGGGCTCCCTGGCAGACTGACCTGGCAAGCGTTCACGGTCTTGTTCCACAGGACCATTTTCTCAGGCTGCAGGATGACTTCCTGGTACACCAGCTCTGCTGGACACTGCAGGAACGCCTGATGGGGGAGGCAGAGGTGAGCACGAAGCTTGGTAACCTCCCTCTCAGCCCAGGGGACAAGAAGGGTGAGGCTGGGCTTAAGCAGCCCCTTGGCCTGTCTCTTGATCCCTCCTATGTGTGAACCTCAAAGCCCCCCTAACTTCCTATATACTTTCTTCTTGATAGGATTTCAGAACTGGGAAAGACTTGGGAGGTCATTGAGCCCAATCTATAGCTAAGTGGAAATCCCTGTTACCCCCCCACCCTTCCAACCTCTAAGTGGTCACCCAGTGTCTGCCTGAAAACCTCTAGGGGATGGGAAGCTCACTACCTCCCAAAACAGTCACTTCTAGACAACTCTTATTGTGAGGAAGTTTTCTCTTAAGTAGACTGAAATCTATCTCTCTGCACCATCTACCCACTGATCCTGGCTATGCTTTCTGGGGCCAAGCAGAACAAAGCGAAGCCCCCTTCCACATGACAGCCCCTCAAATATTTGAGTACAGCTAAGGACCCTCTGTGGGGATCCTGTGGGGATCAGATGGTCTCTGGGCCGCTGGCTGGTCTGGCAGGTGCTAGATGCGTGGCAGGTGTGTCTTTGTGGGTGGGGCTGCAACTGGGATCCCCTCTATGACTCCTGTCACCTCTCACCTTGAGGATGAATGTCTTGCCGTGGAAAGGAATTTCAATGGTGTACACTGTGTCCCCATACTCCTGGTGGAGAGAGAGGAGAAAGGAAGTTGGAGAGAGGAGGCAGCAATGAGGGGCAGGGTAGCTGAGGATGATTGTCATGGGGCTGAAAGATGGAAGGGAAGGCAGAGGGGGTCTGGGGTGATGGCAAGGCTGGTTGGGTAAGGAACTGGCAGGGAGAGAGCATCCCTGGCCCAGTGACAAGACCAGCTGGGACCCTCCACAAGAGTCAGCAGAGGATTGCTCTGCCTATTCCTATGACATCAGAGAGGGAAGGGAGGGAAGGCTGGAATCCAATCTGGGGATTACAGAAAGCACCAAGGTCCTCCAAGACCCAAATGGGAGGCAGGGATCTGATTTTCTGGGGCAAGAATTCAGCCTTAACCCAGCAATCCTTTCAGGGCCAGATAGAGCCTTCCAACTCCCCCATCGCTCCCACCTCCCAATGCCAGGGCTAGCTTTGGGCTCACATTATTCTTCTCAAACTTCCAATTCTCCTCTTGAGCCAGGATCTGGTCCACCACCTCCATGGCTTCCTTCCCCTGCTGGATATACTCCCGATCCTAGGACAATCCATGTGTGCATTACTCAAACAGGTGCATACGATGTTTTCCCTCCCCACTCCCTTCCCAGAAGAGGCAGGTGGTAGGCAGAGGAGTAGTGGAGGTGGGGCAGAGAGGAGAAAGGGAGGAAGAAGGCTTAGATCTACCAGGAAGCATAGTTCCCTCTCTCCCAAGCTGTTCCATCTGCCCTCAGCAGTACTCCTCATCCTCCCTCTTGAGGACAGATCCCACCCACCTTGGTTCTCTTCATTTTTTCCCCCCCGTTTCCCCCATTAGACTTCAATGACTACAGAGTCCAGTGATGATACGGAACATGCAACCTCTTTTGTCTGAATCCCTCCCTACTCCTAGCACTGCTCAGGCTGAGAAGGAACAGCCATTTGACTATCAAAATACTTTTGACCCAAGGCCTCTTGTCTAAAGTCCCTTCTTAATCTGTTCCTCTCAAAGACAAGTGACCCTTTCCTTAAGGTCACTGCTCTGGGGGTGCCAGGTCTGGGGTCCTTGGGTAGGGGAATGGCAAATACCTGGCTGGAGATGCCTTTCTTCCCAGCTCCTTCATCATCAGATTCATTATCAGATCCTAAAGAAGCCAAGTGGAGAGAGGGATCAGTGTAATGGGGGGAAGAGGGTTTCCATATGTGTGTATGTGTTGGGGGGGGTACGAATATTCTCCTTTTGGAACCAGATATAAAAGAGGAACACTAAAATTGCCTCCCTTCCTCCTCTAGCCCTCCTGGAGATTGGGTGAGAAGAGAGGTGGCCTTCAGTCATTGGATCCATGTGGAAACAGGAGGGCAGGGGAAGGAAGGGAGGAGAAGCTACATGTCTCACCTGCAAATGACTCTGGAGGAGAATAGAACTGGCCTTCAGACAAGGCCCCAGGGAAGAGCAGGGGGCCCCGGGCAGCAGCAGCTTGGGCAGCCAGGTACCCTGGGGGACAGATCCAAGATGCTTTGTTCCCTTTCCTGGAGTACCCTCCCCATCCTCCCTTCAGTACAGTGCTAGTCCCAAATCTATCCATGGAAAAGCATGTCTCCTGGGATTTACAGAGCTGGCCCGGGGCCCACACTTGTCATATTTTTTTTTTTACCTATCTCAGGCTATGTGGGTGACAGCGACAGGCAAAATGGCAAGTGAAAAAGACTCCAGACAAAAGTCAAACTGGGAGTCTGGCAGCCACAGGTGAGTGGCCATCATCTGAGACACTTGGGAGAAAAATCCCAAGACTTCTCCAGTCATCCCTGGACTTCTCAAGAGCACCAGAAGTATTTCCTCCATTGGCACGGCACTCTTCCCAAGCTTACTCTCTCTCCCACCCACGACACCTTCCCCTGGCCCTGCCAATCACTGGATCATAGAATTTAAAGCAAGGCAGCCTTACAGATAGTCTAGTTGAATCTCCTTATTTAAAGATGAGGAAACTGAGGCCTGGAAATGTAAAATGACTAGGCCAAGATGACCCAGGTAGAAAGGGGCAGAACTAAGCTTCAAGTCCAGGCCTTGTGACTTCAATCTAGGATTCCTCCCAGTCCATTTTGCTTCCTCCTTCTGGAACTCACATCGCTCCTCCTCTGCCTCCTGTGTCAAGACCTTGAAGTCAAAAAACCAGGTCTCCAGCCAGGCGATGACGAAGGAAACGATGGGGAGCACGTAGCCGAAGGCGCCTTTGCTGAGCAGCTGGGGAGAGTCAGCTGGGCTGGGTGAGGGGGTGTACCGCCCCACCCCCAAAGCTCCACCCCTAGGAAGGCCAAACCTGGCCAGCTGTGAGTGTGTGTGAGGATGGGCCCATTCCCTGACCTCAACAGCTCAGGAGCCCTCTGCTTCCTCTCCACAGAGGGAGATGGGCTGGCACTACAGCAGGAGTGACTGAGGTTAGACCTAAGGGAGAACTTCCCAATTATCAAAGTGGCGGGAGCTCCTGAAAGGGACAGGGGACAGAAGAGGAGTTTCCTTCTCTGGAGATCATTGGGACAGAACCCCAACCCCAATTTACCCAGATATGACTACACAAAGAGAAAGGAGGGAGTGAGTCCAGTTGGAGGGAAGCACAGGAGAGCATCCTTTGTCAATCTTCCACCACAGCCCCTAATATAGCACCCGTGACAATAAAGGGCACATTTCCAAGCCTCTTCCTCTCCAAGATTCTCATCCCTTTCCCCATAAATCCCATCTAGGATCACTGACCTGAGAGAGGATGACCTTGACAATGAGGAAGGCACTGGACACAAGTGTGGTAATCTGGCCGGAGCAGGGAGAAAAGAAGCCAGGAGTTCAGGCCCCTCTTCTTCCTGTTCCCCCAATCCCACTCTCCCAATGCCGACGTATTGGGGCCGACGTATTCCATGAAGGGGCCCTCCAACGTCAATTGGGCATAAGTCTTGGCATCTTACCGCAATCACCCACCAGTGTCGAAGCCTCAGCACGGCGTAGCCCATCAGCAGCCCAGAAAACCGAAAGAAGGCTAGAAGCTGGGGGAAGGGGCCATGGGTGGAGGCAATTCAAGAAGCATTCATGGATTAGATGAGCGGGCAACGTGGATCTCAGTCCTGTACTTGGTGTTTCAGGCGACACAGAATCGGACATGGTGCCCATCCCCAACCACCGGGGCTTACACTCAAACTGGAAATGAATCCGTCCCCTTTCTCACTTCCCAGGCTCCTTTACTATCAGCAGGTAAATTTGATTGACTTCATCCCCACATGGGACACATACTTCCTCCAAGCAGCTTTCCCAAATAAATCCTGTCCACTCCAGGAGAGCTCTTAAAGAGCATGCCTCACCCAACCACTGTCTGTTTACATGCTTGGGGGAGGCTCTGTGTGTCTTCCCCAGGAGACTGGGAGATTCCTAGGGGCAGGAGCTAGGTGTTTCCCCCCATTAGACCGAATGAAAGGGTACAAAGGGAGCAGGAGAAGAAAAACCCAGGAAATGATCTGAAAGCCACCAACTGGCTGCTTCCTCCATGCTTGGGTCACTCACAAAAATATCGAAGAAGGAGGTTTTGAAGTTGTAGTTGATGATCTCTTCCTCTAGATTCTTCTTGATGCCCGTCTTTGTCTGCAAGTGGGGAAGACAGAGAAAGACATAGGGAACTGGTTCCCTGAACCCCCACTGCCCTGGGCTACTCGTCCCCCAACCCCGCCATGCTTTCTCTTCTGACAAAAATGTCAATGGGGAAAAGAAACTCGTGGTGTGAGCAGGTTGGTGGCAAATTCTAAATCCTCTCCATGCCCTCTGACATAATATCTAGACCAGGGGTGGGGAACCTGCAGGCTCGAGGCCACATGTGACCTTCTAGGTTCTTGGGTGCAGCCTTTTGACCAAGTCGAGTTTTACAGAACAAATCCTTTTATTAAGGCGATTTGTTCTTTGAAGTTTGGACTCAGGCATAGGGCCATACTTGAGGATCCAGAGGGCCACATGTGACCTTGAGGTTGCAGGTTCCCCACCCTTGACCTAGACCCATATATTTCTGAAGCATGAAGCAGGGTCGTGGACTAGGTAAGCAGTCCTGGACAACTCAGATCCAAGAACTTACGGTTTCAGGGTCACTTAGCTCGAAGGGAGGGGGAGTGGAAGGGGAGTCTGGTGACAGGCTGGGGACTTTGGTTTCCAAGGCAACCCCAACTGGCAGAAGTAAGTTTAAGCAACCTCTGAGTTTGTATGTGTGAGAAATATGTAAGACTGGTGTGGAGACAGAAGAGAGATAGGGATGAAGAGATCTGGAAAGGGCACCCCCCCCCATGAGGATGTAGGAGGTATGATTCTTAGGCCTGGCTTTCATACAGAAGGGCATGGATCGGATCTCAGAGAACACAACATCTGCATAACTTAATATCCCTCCACCTTCCCAGCCAACAATCCATCTAGGGAGTCACAGGGGGCTTGAGGGCAGGGGATGGGGAGAGAAAGGGTGTTGGGTAGTGGTGTCAGACAGAGCCCCAGGTGGTAAATAAGTTGATTAGATTTGCATCTAATGGGGAGAATCCATCACTCTGCCTGGTTGGCCAGGATGAAGGAATAAATGGATGTGTTGTTCTTCTCCCTTATCTCCAACCACATATATGTAGTTTAATATAGTCAGTTTCCCCCTTTCCACTAGGAAAGGACTTTGGGGAGACAGAGCCCTCTCCAATTCTGGCTAAGATAACTGGATTGGAAAGTGAGTGTGAGAGAGGGGGCATATGGAGGGCAACCAAGGAATGACTAGGGCCTGACTGCTTGAGAGTGGCAGAGCCTGGCCACCCACCTTATTCAGAGCAATCCAAATGAGGCTGTTAGTGAAAGGAAGAAGGCAGCTGCCCCCGCCAGCAATGCCCTCTGTGGCAGAATGGACGAAGCAAAGGCCTGGGAGTTAGGATGCCTGAGTTCTAACCAACTTACAAGCTCCATGACCTTGGACAAGTCACTTCACCTAAGTAGGCCTGTTTCCTCTGTAAGTATGAGAGTACGACCTGCCCTGCTCACCTTATAAGGTTGCTGTGAGGTACAAATGAAAGCATGTGTAGAGAGCTTGGCAGAAAACTGCAAAGTGCTATAAGAACTGAAGTTTATTCTCCCACTTCTCTGAATCTTCTTCCTTCTCAAACTCACAAACTAGGACTGCTCCCTGGACTCTGTCCTCAGCCCTCTCTGCATGCTGACCCCTCAGAGAAATCATTTTATTTTCTGTTTTACTTATTTACCATCTCCGTGCTGATGATAGGTCTGAAATAAGAGGACCTGGGTTCTGATCCTGGCCCTGCCATTAACTAACCTGTGACCTCTGAGGAACCAACTTGTCTTCTGGGGGCTTCAGCACCCTCCCCTGTAGCATCAGGGAACTGGCCTCTAGCGTCCCCAAAGTTTCTTCGAACTTCCCAACTCCTAAATCTCTGTCTCTAATCTTGACCTGTCCCCAGACTTGGGGACTGTAGGACCCTGCCCTCCTAGGTCATTCTGCTTCCAGGCTCACCTTTGGAAAATCCAGACCATCCACCCTTGCCAGACTAATGTTACTAAAGCACAGCTCTCAGCAAACTGGCCTGTGTTCAAACACCTCCCTGCTGCCTCCAAGATCTCTCTAAATTACTCCGTTTGGTCCTTACAGCTCTTTACAATCTGGTCCCAACCTATCTTTCCAGTTTCATCTAACCTAACTCTAGCCTATTACGCAAATAATCAAAAATTACTCTATTTGTTGTCTGCCAGACATAGCATGTCCACTCCTGACTTCCCATCTTATCACCCTTCTCCCTCTACCTGAAATGCTTGGCCCCTTCTTCTGCCTGGTGAAGACCTGTCCATCTTTCACAGACCAGCTTCCTCTGGGAAGCCTTTCCCAGCCTACCCTCGCCCATGGGGATCTCTATTGTCTGGGCCACACACTTCACCTCTCCTAGACTGGCTCCCAGTGAAAGTTCTCTTTGTAATTAATGTATGTAAAGAATGGCCGGGACTCCGGCGTGTACCTGTCTGTGTATATGCTGTGTTCCCAGAGCCTAGCACATACAGAGGGCACTCTGTAAATGTCTGTTGAAGGCGGTGGTCACTATGAAAATGAACTGAGTTTAGCCCATCCCTCTGCCTCGGGGAGGATGGAGTCTAACCAAATCTATACTGATGGAGGTTTCCCTGGGGAGATGGATGAGGATTACTGCAGAAAGGGGTGGGAAGAAGAGGAGCACAGAATTGGATTTTAGAGTCAGGGAACCAAAGAACCATAGAAGAACTGAACTGAAGGGGCCTCAGAGATCTGACACCCTCATTTTACAAGGGAGGAAACCAAGGCAGAAAGAATGATATGCACAAGAGGGCACAGGCAATTTCTAGACTGCTCACCTCCTGGTCCAGTATTCGCTATGCTACATCACCCTTTTACTTTCTAAGATATTTTGCCTATGATCTTTCATTTTATCATTAAGCGTTCCTTGGCAGGCGGGGGGGGGGGGGGGGGGGGGGGGGGGGGGGGGTTGGCAGGGTAAGATCTCTCACTGTTGACAGATTAAGATCCAGAGACTCCAAGGTCACACAGAAAATTGTCAACTAGATCAGAATTCAAATCTAGAATCAAAGAACATTAGAGATGGAACATGGGGAGGGAGGGGATTGACAGTCTCCACTTCTATCCTGCCCCTATTTTAAAGAGGGCGAGCTGAAGCCTAAAGAGGTATGTCTGTCCCAGGGCCTAGGCACCCCCACGCACATTCAGTTCGATGATCCAGAGCAGAGCGATGAAAAGCAGGTCGAAGGTGACGAAGAGGCAGAAGGTCCGGCGGACATCTGAAATGGCCCTGCGCTTCTCTGGGAGGGGCGGGAAGAAGGGTGGCTGGAAGCTCTGGCTTCTGGGCAGTGAGGTGCTCAAGGAGGCCACAGCTGGAAGACTTTGCTCCAAGTCCCTTGACGAGTTGACAGGCAGCTTGGTCATCCTGGTGGGACTTCCTCCCCCCTCACCGAAGGGGAGGGAGAGCTTTCAGCAATGTATCTGTGAACATAAATGGGGGAGATGCTAGAAAGAGCAAGACTGATCTACTGGGGTGGGCGGTGATTGGGATCCAAATCTGGGGCCTTGGCACCTGTTGATTCCTCAATTAAATAGCCCCAAGCTCT